TGTGGGAGCTGCTTCTGGAAGCGTGGGGTGCAATTTCTCCAGATTACCTCAACAAATTAACAGCTAGAATGCCAAAGGTTTGCAATGCTGTAATGCTGCAAATGGAGGATTCTTTGACGAAAACAAAGTTTGATGTTAAATCTTATTTCAAATACAAATCATTATTCCTAACCTTGTCAATGTCTTGACTCTTATTTTCTATTCATTTCATAACGTATGGTGGTGAATAAGTGTGACTTTTCAGGAAAACACAAAATTGGTTGGGTGACCCCAAAATTTTGAACGATAGTGTATATACAGATATATACACGAGAGTCATGGGTACTTGTTGATGGCATTAAAATAATTTCTAATAGCTTTAAAAGAGCATTAGAAAGCATTAAATTAGAGTTACTCATTACTGTATAAACCCTGTGATAGGGAAAAGGCAAATTACATTGTCCACAAAAATATGCGTACCCTTTTAAATTACCATTTTGATAGAACTACAAACTTCAGTATTTTTCATTTACATTTGATGATCTAGGAAAGCAGCAGTACTCTATGATGGTGATGTTGAATCAAATGGATGGTGCTTTTTTTTTTCTTTTTTCCCCCCAGCCATCCTGAGTCGATTTTTGTGGAACTACATTTTGCTGTAGTTACAGCTGTAAGCCTCTTCAGAGATGTCTCACCTTCACACAGCTGGAGACTGACAGTTTTACAGTCTCTGCTAAAGCTGCAGCCCGGATGAAGAGTGTCTATCGGTTTTAAGTCTTTAAACATATTCTTAGTTTGACTCAGTGCTGGATTTTGACTGGACAATTCTGATACGTGATTATGCTGCGATGTCTGCTCGTATGTTCCAAGGTCAATCCTTCCCCCCAATCTGAGGTCTTTTGCAGCCTCTCACTGGTTTTATCCATCTACCTGTGAATTGAAAGTTAACGTGGGCATTTTGGCAGATGGTTTGAACAGAGCTCATAGAGATGTTTAAGGTTCAGGGACGGAGCTAGATGGGTGGCCATGGCCACCCTCAGCCAATCATTGGCCACCCCTACCATTTTTTCCCTCTAATTCAGACGGTGGCAGCAGTAATACTCTGAAGGGGAATGTCCAAACTTATTAAACATTTAAATGTTTCATATATATATATATATATATATATTTTTTTAACAACTACTTGACAACAGAAACACTGTAGTTAATTATGCACATCAATATGCTAACATTAAAGATGATAGATACAGAATTTGAGCTCTTTTCAGATCAAGGCTGCAGGAAAGTATAGTTTGTCTTTTTTTAGGAAATATGGATGTTGTGCTTGTTCCTGTTGAAACAGTGTAGATTGAGCCTGAGGTTCTGGTGCATTTCGGCCACCCCTCAATGTACATTGGTTATTGCCTGGCCACCCCTATTAGGATTTTCTGTTAAGGTTTGGGAAATCTAACACTTAACCCAGCTTTTAACTTCTCCACAACTCTTATCTTTGACTTTCAGGGCACTAAGAACAACAATAGATTGACTCTGGGAGGAGGTATCTCAATCTGCTAAGACGGAGTGCTAGAGAAGATCCTTCCTACCTTCAGCCATAATGTATTATGTACTTTTTCTCCCAATTTCTAATCCTGTGCTACTTGGTGTTGGTCTAGCGCATGAAAAACTAATGAAATTGAGCAAAATCGAAGAAAATGTATTTCTGTTCCAGCTGTTAAAAGGCATGCATTGAATTTTTTCATTGCAATGAAACACAAATTTGAATATATAAAGGCATATGAATAATAGATCTTTGAGCTATATTTTAGCAAAACGTTTTCACAACAGTTTTAAGGAAGAATTAGGGGAGGAAAGTAATAATCAAAGAGGGCAATTCAAAATCCTATTAGTTTTACAGCTAAAACAAGTGAATCAGAGGGAAAGAGTATTATTAAAGAAAAATTGATGGAAAAATGGCAAAAAAGGTGGGATGAAGAAAAAACAGGAAGATGATTTTATAAAATTCGGAAGATAGTAGGAAAAAGAAGAAATGGAAGACGAAATAGGAAGAGAGAGTGATAAGGTTAAGATTTGGGCATACAGGACTTAATTATATACTTTTCAAAACTCAAAAGCATGCTATTGGCAAATGTAATTACTGTGAAAAATATGAAACAATAGAACATGTTATACTGGAATGTCATAAATATGAAAGCGAGTGAAGATATATGAGAAGAGAGTTTGAATGTATTAAGGAAAAGATTAATTTATTACATATTTTGAGGAAGAATTTGGGGAGTAAACATACAAATAATTATTTAAATTTTAAAGAAAACTAAATAGAATTTGATTATAGAGAGGACGAATGTGTGTATGATATAGAAGAGTAGAATACAAAGTTATGTATAAGTGTATGTAGTTTTTTTTTTCTTTATTTTTCTTTAGAAAATATTTTTATTAAGTAGATAGTCCATCATGAACCACACTCCATACCAGTAAGTGGCATTAATACTACTAAATGTTTTTTGCCAACCGCAAATAAATCCAATGACAAGAAGAAGAAACGTAATGACAGCTAGAAATAAGATTTTTAAAGGCAAAATATGAAGAAAATGTGTCCTTAAATTGTATTCAAGTCATGTATTTTTTTTTAAGTTCTTTGCTCTTCCATTTCCCAAATCATCCACTAGAGGCGCTGTTTGCCCACACATCAGGCCGCTCAAGTGGCAGATAGATCCCCGCTGTGTAGATCTGCTCTGTGCTCATTTCTCTGCGAGGCTGCTCTGTTCTCACTAGCATTTCTGCTCTGTCATTAAAGCAAGCTGCTCCACGAACCACACTACCTTATTTTAATTTCTTTTTTTGGCTGGGCTTCACACCCGCTGTCCAAAAATCCACTCCGGTTATTATCGCCCGCTGCTGCGTTCAAGGGATAGACTCATTTTCAACCAGCTGGACATCACTGCTCTGATTGGAGCGAAACAAGAGATTTGTTAGTTTAACGGACAGCTTTTGGCCTGCATCGGTGCTCAACTAAAACTAGTATATACATCTTTAAATAGTTTAGCTTACATTTTAAAGGTTTAGCTTAGCGTAAACGGGGAAACAAGAAAATTTAGCATAACCTTATTACAGGCGCTGAATTGGCCACGGAAACCTCGCAGCGGCGATGAATCATTTTAACTGACAGCTTTTTGAAGAATTAACCGGCTTAAACCAGTTTGCTGCTCATAGACGCAGTGAAATCCCAGGTTGTGGCAGCAGGTAACAACTGGAGCTGACAACAGCAGGCGGTTTCTCCCTAAACGCTGCAAAGTGCATCACTCAGCGTTCAGCTCGTTTGTTAGAGCAGGGTTCCGCTAGCTGCCGTTAGCCTGTCCTCCTGCTAACCCTGGACAGCTCCACCAAGCTAGCTTTGGACAAAGGAGCAACGCAGCGGGGGGATCTATAAACACCGAGCTACACAAGTCGTTTTCTGGAGCGACAAACAAGGACCTGACATGATGTTTCCACAATCAAGACACTCAGTAAGTTGTTGTTTTTTTTCTTTGCATTTGAAACGTGCTCAACAATTAGGTAGTAAATGCAAACGATGCGTGAAACTTCCTGTAATTATTTATTTATTTGCTCACTGCCAAGTTTCTCGTAAGTTCTCCAGGATGAAATAAACAGAATAGCAAATATGGAGGCTTGGCGTGTTTTCCTTTGTCAAAATGCTGTCCGGATTTCCGAGTAGATGCTGGTATTGTTTGAGTAAAAACTCATGTTTGTTTTTCTTTTTATATTTATTGTTCCAGTATGATAAATTACATATCGGACGCATAATATTAGAAATCAAGTACCCAATACGCATGCATAACACTGTATAATTTAATATTGTGTATGACTGGATATGCGCATGGTGCGGTTCCCCTTAAATCTCAGGTTTCCTTGGTAACAGTAACTCAGTTGAGGGCAGGCTGGGAGCCCATTGGTCAAACACTCATGTTTCAACACTAATATAACTGTTTCACATAGGAGAGCTTATGGAGGACCAACCGTGCCATAATTAAAATTACATAAATAAGTGACTCATAATTAGAAATTGTTGGTGAAATAATGGATTGAAATTTAATTGAGTGAGCCATTAAATGCCACAGACTGATTAAAAACTACAGATATATATAAAAAAATATATATAGTTTTAACTAATTGATTTCTGCACTTTTATTCTTTCTTTTTTTTTTATTTGAACAACGGATATTTTACTCTTGGCTTTTTTTGCTGGGATGCTGTATTTTTTTCTTTACACATTTATGTCAAGTGTATTTATTTGTTATATACTCCATAACCTTTTTTTTTTAATTGGTCTTATTTTTTGATCACCCAGATATATTTAAAGCAGGTTTTCCATCCTTTATGTTATTTTCTAATTATTTTAGTTTGCTTTTTAGTTTTAATAACTCATATATTTCCCCTCTTATTTATTCCTGTAGTATTTCCTCAGCAAACAGAGTTTATCTTTAGTCATGTATTTCTGCCTCTCCATTTTCTCCACAGAAATATTTAATGATAGATCTAACAAAAAAATAGGAGTGGATAACAAATTGAGTGCACAAATGAATTGGTGTCCATGTGAACGTATTGGCTGATACAGAAAGAATATGTCTATGCAAAATGAAATTACCTTGGTGGCCAAAAGATAAGCGCAAGATCATCACTTAGAAGCCATGCAAATCAGGAAATAACTTAAAAACAATATAGATGAGAGAACCTTGAACATCACATTATTGATGACAATGCACAGAGGTTGTCAATGGCAGCAGAAGATTCTTCTGCATTTTCCAATGTTGTAACCAAAACATTTTTCCTTTTTTGCATGGCTTTTTTTTACAGTCAGAACAGGTTATTTGCAGGTTTGAAAATATAGAAATTGCCCAGGGCGACAATGTGAATTGAAGCAAATGTCCATGGCATTTGTTCCCGACTTCTTCCAGACCTTTTCTATCCACCCGGCAGGGAAACTAGTTTGCAAATATATATTTTTTTTGTGTTCTGCCGCAGTTCTCCATACTTATGAGTTTGTGCTTTACTGTTTGCTGATGACCCGTATGTTGCCTTAGACTCACTTCCTGTAATTTTGCCTGTCAATAAATATAGGCTGTTAATGTTACCACAAAGAGGAACCCATTTGAATTATGTAAAGAACAGATAGTTGCTTTGTATGTTGTGCTTTCTACTTGAGATACTGCCTCCTGTGAGCTCGAGTCACAGGAGGCAGTATCCCACCCCCTGAGTTTCCAGCTGTGAGAGCTCATCGCTCACTGGAAATTACCCTGCTGTGTAGCACATTGGGCATAACAAGTGTAGACTTTGTTTGGACCGGTTCTTCACACAGTGTCCTTAAAGTACCTGGCCTTAAGGTCCTAAAATCGCTTCATAACACAGCAATGAGTTAATATATGCATGTTAAGTTTGCCATTACTGCATTATGTTTCCTTTCTATTTAAATCATTTATTTCAATGGTAACTGTTTTAAAATAACTGCTTTTTTCTTTAGTATTGTTGCCAATCAGCAAAAAGTTTCACATTTTACCCTAGAATAGTCTATTAATTTTATATCTAACTTAATGACTGCATGGTACCAAAACCTGATGGCAAACTGACAAACCACAAATGGCATGTTTTTCTTCTTATGAATAAGGGGCCCTTTGCTATAAAATTTTTAAACGATGGATGGTCCCATCCTCAAGCAGATAGGTTTAGGTGTAACCGCAAAGATTTCTCATTTAAGCAGTGCATCCAAATGGATCAACCATTTTGCGAGAACAGAAAACTGAGTTATACGAACTGAGTTGCTAAAGGCCACAGAATAATAAAGACATCTTGATAAGTCTACCCAAAGCAGTGTTAATATGGGTTAGTCATCACTGCACTCAATGTTGTAGTGTTCAGTGACGATACTAATATGCGTTATAGTCATGTCAAACACATTCTATTTTTGGTAAAGCTGTTAATTCCCCCTTAAATTGTGTGACATATGGAGCTTCTGGGTGAAGGCAATGTAAGAGTGTGGGGACATAGCTCCCACAGTAAACAAATAGGTTGGGCCACAGATGGGATTCTATAACCTGTAAACATTAGTGGTGTTGCCGATCGATTGGCCAGCGATCATAATCAACCAATTTTTATCTAAAAGTATGTAATCAATGATCACTGATCAGTTTTTTTAACAATCACAGCAACCAATCATCTATATCTCTTACTTTTGCAATGTGTGGAGCCCCTACCTGCCGCATATCTCCCTTTTTTCTTCTCATTGTGCTAACACAGCATAAAATCTTTGCCATGTGGAACTTTTGTGCTTGTTTTTGTCTGTGACCACCTCCATTATTGGGGGTTGTTATTCATGCGTACTCACAGCTGAACATATCTGTGCAAAGCTCCCTTTTTTGAGCACACGCAAGTGACTGATGGGGAAAAATCTTAGGATTAAATTGGTTGAAATATGTGAAAGTCCAAGCAGTATTTGTTACACAGTGGATGTGCCCAGGTGATAGCTGACAGGAACACGCTGTTCTTGTGCAAGGAAGAGCAGAAAATGGCAATGGCTTAATTGTTTCTGTTTTACTTGGGCTTTTTTTTTTCTGCCAACCATCCTACTCTCTTTTGGTTGAAATTGTCGAGTCTCTCTCCCTGAGGGGCTAACACCTCACCATTTCCGAGATGAAGCAGATGGCTTACTCCGCTCCTGCTTTTGTTTTGGTTTTATAATCCAGTTGAGTGCAATTATGCCGCCTGATCCAAGCACAAGACCCCAGGATGCAGGAATAAATGTGAGGGTTGGGACTAAAGCAGGCATTTTCTTTAGAACTACAGCTTCCTCCGTTTCACACAAATATATGTTGGGCCATGTGGAGATACGTGTCTTTTTTCATGTTTGTCATTTTGACAGATACCGATGCCTAAAAGTCTGTATGTTGTTGAAGTTCTTGTAAAAGTTATGGAAGACTATAAAATGTTGAGATACCTCTTGAATCATATGTTAAAGGCCTATTCTGCAAGAAACAACATTCCCACGTCTTACTTTAGGCTTTTTCCATAGAGCTATGGCTATAGATATGGGGAGTTTTTCAGAAACGGCTATTATCTACCAATATGTTGTGTAAGTAAGTTGGACATTTTCAGCTAGTTTTCACCAGCCTTCAGAAACAACCAATTTAAAGTTTAACCATTATAAAATAATTGCTTCTTGCTCTTCATTTTAGGCGACTATTGCTTGTAGAAAAAGTGTTGGCAGTTTGAACAAAGAAAGAGCCCATTAATATTATTGCAAGGCAACCATGTTTCCGTACCTAAATGCATCATTCTGATATGCAGTCAAAGAGTGGTTGCCTTTCCATAGTATTTAGGAATACAGCATTACATGCACAAAAACAGGACATCAAAGGCAACTACTACAAAGCAAGCCTGGCTAAGAAAGCGCTCGGGAGTTTGGCTCAACTTTTCAAAATGCAATGTAGATTACGCTCGCTGCAACATTTATGGCGCAATGCACTACAGCGGCAGCAGAAATGCCTCCTCCACTTTGGGCAGGAACTCTCCTCCACACTAAAGGGGACAAGCCACCCTTTTCTGGTTGAGAACAATGGAGGAGCAGATCCTCATCCTTTGCACTCTGCTCCGAACTACCATGCTGTAGGTCTTGGCAGGAGTGAGCCAGCAGAACCGTATCACCAGCAAAAGGCAGGGCCAAAATCCGCTGGTCACCCACAGTCATTGGCTGTGCCTAGAAAATCTCATCCCTAATGGTTTTAAACATGGGTGGTGACAAAAGGGCAGCCCTGCTGGAGTCAAACATGCATGGGAATACACCTTACTAATGCTGGCAATGCAGCCCAGACTCCTGCTCTGTACAGAGACCCATTTGCCCCTAGTAAAGGGCCACCCAACTCTGAACTCCTGGAGCTCCCAACACAAGAAACTTCAAGGGACACTGTTGAATGCCTTCTCCAAAACACATTTGAACCGATTTGGCAAATTTCCCTGCTGAAGCCGAGTATTGACAGTCAGCTCGACTCTTCCTCTTCAGCACCATATGAAGGCCTTGTGGTGTAGGCTGAGGAGTGTGATCCCCCTAAAGTTGGAACACACCCTCCGGTTCCCCTTGTAGTGGTGGGGAACTAACACCCTACCGTTACAGGAGTACTGTCCCTTACCTCCACGGAATTTTAAAAAGGCATGTCAGCCATGGTAGCACAGAAACATCCAGACATCTAAGGTACTGAGGGGTGGATCTCATCCATTCCTGAAGTCTAGCCCCCATAGAGTTCTTTGACCACCTCTGTGACTTCAGCCTGTGTGATGAAAGAATCCAGCCCCATCTCTTCTTCTGCCACAGAAGGCATGTCGGTGCAGGTTTAGGACATCCTCAAAGTATTCGTTCCACCATTCCGTCTGACAAGTGATTGATTTTCTTAAACAAGTTGTTCTGATTGCTCTTTGTAGAATGTTTCAACTTGGCTCCATTAGGTGCGTTAACTTACAA